AGGGAAAGACTGGCTATAACTTAAATTGCCAGGCTACCATCAAAGGGGGAAAAAAAGATACAAAACATCCGGCCAGGGGAAAAACCCTTTGGGTGCCACAGCCACTAAAGGGGGAGAGGTTTTTTAGGGCCGGGGAAAGGAAAAAAAAAACGGGCGGGAAAGGGCAAAATCGAACCAAATCCAGTCATTCCGGAGTGGAACCACAGTCGAGGGGCCTCCACCCCAAACCAACAGATACGAATAAGCCGAAAAAAAACCCCCCCCATACCAAAATACCCCCACCCGAAACTTCTTCTTTGCAAATATACAGGTCAAAAGCCAGCAACATACAACAAAATATTTTCATCCGTGGACGCTTGCGAGGAAAAGGCAATGTTCGCGGCTTTCACTGAGACCCACAAAAAGGTCATTGGACAACAAAATAGGATCCCAGGTTACAACCTTTTACAATGTACAGAGGAACAGGCAAAAGGGGGGGTTGGCCTGTACATTGCAGGTCCTTGTTTGCACGAACTGCTTAATGCCTCAAATGTGTAGTGGAAGTTTTTGCAGTAAAGGGCGAGAACAAAAAACCCAGTCATTGTGGTATCTACAAACCCCGTATGCAAAATCCCAGCAATTCCAGGAACATGTTAAAAATTTACCCCTGTCTGGAAAAACTTCCCGCTCCTCACCCAAATCTTTGCTCCGGGATTTCAACTTTAAAGGGACCTAAAATGGAGGAAAATACAAATAATATTGTTTTCAGTAATAACACCAGGGGGCACTCTGTGAAAAATCACACTCACACGACTTTTAAATCTCTGCACAAAATTCAATTTAAACCGCAAAAATGAGCCTACTAACTGGAGAATACACTGACCTCATCTTCACTAACAATGATGATCTGATAAGAAATGTCACCATATCAAAAAAAAAATTTCTCATATCACAAATAATTGAGGTTCAACATTATGCGTGGAGCCCCCGACCGCTAATGGAAAATAGTCACGAGGGAGATTCACCAAATTTAACTTCAATAACAAAAAAATAAAGTGGGGGCCAAGTAAACCAATTCCAACCGATTAAGCGGGAAGAATACAAGCAACACAGACCCCAACTTATGCCTGAAAGATTAACTCGGGTGGGGGGGACTCGATTTTGCACAAGGCTTATTCCTCTAAGAAAAAGGGGAGTAGATGTAAAATAGAAAGAGACCGGCGCTCCCTTTACAGGCGACGGAAAAATAACAGAAAGGCTAAAAAGGTCAATATATCTGAAATGCGTAGGGGCACTGGTTTAGAGAAATACAAGCATCGAACTTAAGCAAAAAAACCTTTTGGATCAGGAATCGCGGGGAAGAACAAAAGCCATAAAAAAATCGAAAGAAAAACCCAAAATATTTTTTCTCCTATCCAAATCAAAATCGAAACAACGCCAGTATTGGCCCCCACTTAAACAAGAGGGTCCTACACAGATACAGCAAGGAAAAGATGAGCTACTCAAGTCCCAGATGACTCAGTTTTACAAACCGAACCAGACGAAGTCGAAGATCAAAATGAATTTTTTTGAGAGGCCCCAAAATTTGATTAACACAAACCCCTCCCATTTTACCCGACGCCAAATGACTTCGAACAGGCGATAAATGACATCCCAAGCACTCTGCCCCCCGGCCAGACCATGGAACTTGTTTTTCATCAAAAACTGCAAAAAAGCCCCTTTACGACCTTTTCCAAACCTATGGAGAGGGACATGGACACGGGGGGCGCCCCCATTCTAAAAAAAAACAGACAAGCCCCACTCCACAAAGGGGCATAAGCAACAGCAAAAAACTACAGACCAATAGCACTAACATCCCATACATAAAAATCTTTTAAAGGGTCCAAGAAGCAAGATACCACCCATCTAGAAAAACCCCTTTTTTACCACCCAGGCAACATGGTTTAGAACAGGTCGTCCTGTCTGTCTCAACTATTGGATCACTACGACAAAGGGCCAAATGGGACTAAAGCAAAAAAAATGCAATGTAATTATACAGATTGCAAAAGCTTTGACAATGTGACCCTGGCGTAATAGCGCACAAAATGGGCTGCTAAAGGGAAAAACAGGAAAAGTGGGCGTGGATCTATAAAAAATTTCCTCCAACAGAACACAGAGAGTACGTCACAGAGTAAAGTCCAGGGAGCTACGGTGAAAAGCTTTGTTCCACAAGGCACAGTACTCCTCCCATCTTGTTCCTCATCCTCATTCCGACATAACAAAGGGTGCGCCCAGCACCGGGCTTCCCCTTTTCAGATGACACCCAATCTGCATACAGTGTTTCCATTGCAACACTCAAGGTCCAGGGACATCAACCAAATCTTTTAGTGGGGTGCGAAAACAAATGAAGTTCAAAATGGAAAATTTCAATTTTCTCAGATATGGAAACATGAGGAAATTAAATCTTTATCAAGTACAAAACAAATTCTGGGGGGGCCCAAAATAGAGCGAAAAAAACCAACGTCAAAGACCTGGGGGGATCATGCGGGGATTCACCTTCAAGGACCATAACATTGATCTATCGCATCTGCTAAAAAAAATACGGGGGGTAATGAGAACCTTTAAAACTAGGGGGCCAAACCCAGTGACACTCTTTAGGTCACTTGTTTTTACTAGGCTGGAAAATTGCGCACACTACCACCTTTCAAAAGGGAGGTGAAATTGCCGACCTAGAAAATTACAGAGAAAAATTTCACGGCCACATAACGGAGATAAAACACCTCAGTTCTGGGGGCTTGAGGTTTCCAAACCTGTATTTCCCTGGAACGCAGGGGGGAGAGATACATGATTATATACACCTAAAAAAAACCTAGAGGGACTAGTACCGAACTTTCACACGAAAATATCATACGAAAGAAAAGACTTGGCAACATGCACCATCCCCCAAGAAAAGCAGGGGGGTTTACTGCACGTTTTTAAAAACCATACAAAAAGTGTCAGGGCCCCAGATGTTCAACGCCCCCAGCACACATAAGGGGGATTACCAACAACCCCTGGCAGTCTTAAGCTGGCACTGGACAACACCAAAGTCAGTTCCTGTCACCGGCGGGGCTCGTACGTTGGTTTGCGTGAGCCAGCAGCAACGCCTGGTTGATCGGGCTCTGACCCACCAGGCGGCCGGGTCACAGACCGGGCCGCGGGGGCGTTGACCCCCGGAACCCCCTCCAGGTAAACTCCAGGAAAACTCCAGGAAAAAAATACCACGGTTTGTTAGGTAAGACACATAGCAACAGTTAGAAATCTTTATTTCGAAACTTTTTGCCTAACAAAGGTTTCTTCAGTCGAGTACAGAAAAGTTGATAGAAGCAAAAGACTTGAAGGTGATGTAATCAGCCATCACCCTTAAATTTTTTGAGGTGGTCAGTCCCTCGTCTGGAAAAGGGAGCATTGCCCATATCTGAAACAATACCAAACCCCCTCATTTTGCCATTACTATTTCTCCTAGTACTCATATTACTACACTGGGACTTCACTATTTTCCCGCAAAAACCCATCCCACTAACTATTCCTATTTTAAAGCCCAACAGCTCCCTTCATTTTGCTTGGGCCTGCTCCCCCCCCAGACCAGATAAGTGAACCCCATCCCTGGCATACATGTCATTTCTGCCATAGAAGAGGTCCCAGTTGTCAATGAATGTTACCGCATTTTCCTTACAGTATTTGTCCAGCCAGCAATTGACACCAATTGCTCTGGACAACCGTTCATTTCCAACTCCTCTCCTTGGGTATCTTTATTGAGGAAAGATACCCAAGAGTTGCACATGTGTCTAATTTATCAGTCATATAGTTGTCAGGAAGTGGAACAATCCGGAGAGTGATGTAGTGGAGGCAAGATCCATACATAGTTTTAAGTAGAGGTTCGATGAATCTCATGGAGAAGGGAGAGAGTGGACCTAGTAGCGACCAGCGAAGAGGCGGGGCCAGAATCTATGAATCGACCCTTCAGACACAACTAGGTGAGTACAATTAGGTGAGCACACACACAACAGCGAAGAGGCGGAGCCAGGAGCTGTGAATCTAGCCCTGGAACCCCAAATAGGTGAGTACACACACACACACACACACACACACACACGTGCAAAGGTTTGCAATGAAACTAGTCCCAGAGCTAAGGGGTATGTCCTATGAGGCAAGGTTAAAAGGAACCCAACCTGATGACACTGGAGGACAAGGGAGGATATGATAACGACGTAAAAATACTGAGAGGAATTGACAAGGTGAACAGGACAGAATGCTTCAGTGATGGTAAATAGGAAGTAGGCACAGCTGGAAATTTAAAACTCAGATGAGTAATAGGGATGTTAGGAAGTATTTTTTCAGCCTTAGAATTGTCATCAGGAACTGGAACAATCTGGAGAGTGAAGTGGTAGTGGCGGGATCCATACATAGCTTTAAGAAGAGGTACAATTCGGTGAAGTGCACACACACATGTAATTACACAGTGCAAGCACAGTGTGTAATTTAATTCTTTATGAGCCTTAGTTAAGTGAATGCACTGAGTGACAGGAAAAATGTAATATCATCTACTCACAAGTGTTGTTGATTTTAGTAATTTACAAGTCTTGATCATGTCCAAACAAATTTTGATCATGTCCAAACAAGCCTTGATCATGTCCAAACAAGCCTTGATCATGTCCAAAGAAGTCTTGGTCATTAACAGACAAGCCTTGGCCGTTTCCAAACAAGTCTTAAATCAGTCATATACAAGCCTGAATCATGCAAAGAATGAATAATTTACACATCAGAGAAATCTACAAAAATCGTACCAGTCACTTACAAGACACGTCAGTATTTACAAATCAGGGTAACTTACGAACTAGTCTGGGTAGTTTACGAACTATTCTAGATAATTTCGGAAATAGTCTTGGGGGGTTAAAAAAATCGTCAGCTATTGGGGGAAATTAGCAAATCCGTCGTCGGAGTCATATTCGTTATCGCCTTCATCATTCTAAATCGTCATCATGGCTATGGTTACGGCTGACCTGAGGTACCGATGATCTTGACGCAGAAGTTGGCTGGGAACTGGCCAATGTGTCTCTCCTTGGGCACGTGACAGTCCTCAGCGAAGGTGGAGTGGGCCGGGTGGAAGGGGTCATCACAGTTGATGTCGCTACCGTTCTTGGAGCTTGGAGGAGCACACGTAGCAGCTGATACCGCTGGCTGATGCTGTGCAGAGAAGGGAGGGAGTGTTACAGCAAGTGGAAAAAAGTAAGTTTTCAATTAGCCAATAAACTGGGAGTGAAAACTAGACCACTATCTGGCTCGTCATTTCGGTTTAGTCTGGAAATTAGAGGGCGTTTCGGTCCGTCCTCGACTGGTAACAAGTCGCTATAATGGTCCAGGACGGCCGGAAACAGCGTCTAATTTTCAATTCCAATTTGTGGTTTAGTAGCTACGGTATTGAGACTGTTTTCCAACAATAAAATATTAAAAGGACCCCGATGGAAATAAGTCATTTCGTCTGACTTTTTTGGGGTTATCCTAGGTAATTTACACACGTTAACTATGTATAATTATAGTAAACTAAATTTGTGTAACTGTACTTATGTGTACCTGTACCTAAACAGTTTTACTTTCTAACCACAGTACTTTCACTTTTTTCTTCAGTCACTCTACTGCCACTTTTAGTCTTCAAGTAGTACAATTTAATCAGGTTAAATTTAAATTCCTGAGTAATTTCATTGTTTTCCATCCTTCCTTCTGTATTGTTTTCTTCTTTAGGAAGTCTCGACCCAGAAAGCCCAAACAATCTCGTCTAAAGATAACTCTCAGTAAACACAATGCAGTTGCCTTTTTTTTTTTTTAATAATACTTAATATTCGCACTAGACAAGTGATTATTATAGGCGCAGACTTTAGATAAATCATAGAGATTCAATCTTGGATAACACCAACACAGTCAAACAGCGAGGGAGGATGTACATAGGAAAGGGAAAACTTAGCAAATTTGAAGGTGAGATCGAAAGGAGTGGAGAGAAAAAGAATGCAAAACGGAAGATGGTGAAAGAAATAGATGAACGATGTAGGAGGAGAAGGAAACGACTGAGGAGCAAAAGAGGTAGGTGGAAGGATATACAAAGATAATGGTATTAGAAAGGGGTAGGATGATGAGTAGAGGAAGAAGGTAGACATTAGGGAGAGAAGCAGAGAAAGAAAGTAAAGAATGGGGAGGAAGGTGGAGAATGGATGAGATGGAAAGGAAGGAAAGGTGAAAAAAATAAAAAGCTATTGGGAACCTAATACAGGGGAAGAAAGACTTCTCACATAAAAAAAAAAACACACACAGGAAATGTAAGAGAAGCAGAAGGAAATAAAGATAAAGGTGAGGTACGAGAAAAAGACAAAGAAAGAAATAACATACATTAGAGAGGGGGAGAGAGAAAGATATCAAGTGCTGAGACACGTAAAACAAATACTCACATCTATAAACAACAACGGGTAGAAATATAAAGATGACCAGGTAATAATTTAACATTCTAATCACCGCCATTTTCTGAAAAAGAAATACAAATATAGATTAGAAATTTACAGGTATTGTAAGGGTAACAGCAGTGGTAGTAGTGGTACTACTAGTAAAAGCATGGCAGCAACAGTAGTAGTAATAGTTGTTGTAATAGTAGTTGCAGTAGTAGTAGCGGAAACAGTACTAGAAGTAATAGTAGTAATGACGATGGTGAACAAGTACACATACAAATAGAAAAACTGAATAATTATAAAAAAAATTATTAATTCCACTGCATGCATTCACTAAATTCCATAAGACCTACGTTATGGGAGAGTTGGTAACCTCTGTCTTAGCCGATGATGAAGCAAGGAACACATACCAACCACCACACTCGGACAACCACCAACCACCGCACTCGACAACCACAACCACCGCACTTCCGAAAACCACACACACCGCACCTCGGACAACCACACACCACCGCACTCGACAACCACACACCCACCAAACTCGACAACCACACACCACCGCACTCGACACCCACACACACCACATCGACTAACCAGACCACACACCACCGCACTCGACACCACACACCACCGCACTCGACAACCACCACACCACCACAATCGACAACCACACACCACCGCATCGACAACCACACACCACCGCACTTCGACAACCACACACCACCGCATCGAACAAACACCACACCACCACCACTCGCCCCAACAACCACACACACCACACGCGAAAACCACACACACCACACTCGGGACAAACCACACACCACCACCACTCGACCAACCACACACCACCCACACTCGACAACCACACACCACCGCACTCGACAACCCACTCCACCACACACTCGAAACCACACACCACCACACTCGACAACCACCACACGCACTCGACAACCACACACCACCACACTCGACACCACACACCACCACACTCGACAACCACACACCACCACTCTCGACAAACCACACACCACGGCAACTCGACAACCACCCACACCACCACACTCGACCAACCACACACCACCGCACTCGACAACCACACACCCCACGAACATCGACAACCACACACACCACACTCGTGGCAACCAACACCACCGCAATCGCCAACCACACACCACCACACTCGACAACCACACACCACCGCACTCGACAACCACACGCCACCACACTCGTCAACCACACACCACCGCCTCCCCGACAACCACCCCCCCTACAACCACCGCACGCGACAACCACACACCACCACACTCGGACAACCACACACACCACACCCGACACCACACACCACCACACTCGGACAACCACACCCCACCACACTCGACACAACCACCACCACCACCACCACTCGACACCACACACCACCACACTCGACAACACACACCACCACACTCGACAACCCACACACCACCACATCTCGCAACCACACACCACCCACTCGACAACCACACACCACCGCACTCGACCAACCACACACACCACACTCGACAACCACACACACACCGCACTCGTCAAACCACACACCACCGCATCGACAACCACACACCACCGCACTCGACAACACACACCACCGCATCGCAACCACAAACCACAACCACACTCGTCAACCACACACCACCACACTCGACAAACACACACACCGCACTCGACAACCACACACCACCACACTCGACAACCACACACCACCACACTCGACAAACACCAACAACCACACTCGACAAACTCACACCACCACACTCGACAAACAACCACCACACTCGACAACCACACACCACCACTCGACAACACACTACACCGCACTCGACAAACCGACACACCACGCACTCGACAACCACACACCCACCACTCGACAAACACACCACCACACTCGACAAACCACACCACCACACTCGACAAACCACCACCACACTCGACAAACACACCACCACACTCGACAACCACACTCCACCACACACTCCGTCAAACCACCACCACCACCGCACTCGACAACCTCACACACGCACTCGACAACCACACACCACGCACTCGACAACCACACCACACACAATCGGACAAACCACACACCACCCCTCGACAACCACCACACCACACACGACAACACACACTACTGCACTCGACAACCACACACCACCGCACTCGACAACCACACACCACCGCACTCGACAACCACACACCACCGCACTCGACAACCACACACCACCGCACTCGACAACCACACACCACCGCACTGACAACCACACACCATCACAATCGACAACCAACACCATCACACTCGACAACCACACACCGCCCACACTCGACAACCACACACCACCACATCGACAAAACACACACCAAAACACTCGACAAACACACGCCACCACCTCGACCAAACACACACCGCACTCGACAAAACACGCACACCACCACACACGGAGAAGAAAACACACGCCACCACACTCGAAACAAACTACACACACCGCACTCGAAAAACACACACCACCACACACGCAAATAACACGCCACCACACTCGACAAAAAACACACGCAGTACACTCGACAAAACACACGCACCACACTCGACAAACCACACCACCACACTCGACAAACACACGCCACCCACTCGACAAACACACCACCATCACATTCGACAAACACACGCCACCACACTCGACAAACACACGCACACACTCGACAACACACACCATCACGCTCGACAAAAAAACACCACCACACTCGACAAACACACACATCACAATAGACAAAAAACACACCACCCCACACTCGATAAAACACACACCACCACACTCGACAAACACACACCACCACACTCGAAACACACACACCACACACTCGACAAACCACACCACCACACTCGACAACCACACACCCACACTCGACAACCCACACCACCACCCACTCGACAAACACACGCCAGCACTCTCAACAAACACCGCCACACACTCGACAAAAAACACAACGCCACGCACTCGACAAAACACACGCCACCACACTCGACAAAGACACGCCCCCACACTCGACATACACAAACTCCACCCACACTCGAAAAAACCACACCCCACCACACTCGACAAACACAACACCATCACATTCGACAAACACACACCACCACACTCGACAAACACACGCACAACACTTCGACAAACACACACCATCACACTCGACAAAAAAACAACACCCACCACACTCGACCAAACACACACCATCACACATCGGACAAAAAATACACCACCACACTCGATAAAACACACACCACCACATCGACCAACCACACACCACCACACTCGACAAACACACCACCACACTCGAACAAACACACACCACCAAAACGACAAACACACACATCACATTCGACAAACACACCCATACACTCGAGAAACAAACGGCAACACACTCGACAAAACACACAACATTACATTGGACGAAACATACCACACCACTCGACAAACACATACCACCACACTCGACCAAACACACACAACACCACTCGACAAACACACACACCACACTCGGACCAACACAATCATCACACTCGGCAAACACATAACCACCACACTCGACAAACACACACCCCCACACTCGGACACACACCACACACTCGAAACACACCATCACACTCGAAGACACAATCCATCACACTCGACAAACACTTACCACCACACTCGTCAAACACACGCCACACACTCGAATAAACCACACATTCATCACCACTCGACAAACAACCACACCACCACACTCGACAAACACACACCACCACACTCGGACAAACACACATTATCACACTCACAACACACACCATCACACTCGACCAAACACCATACCACCACCACATCGACAACACACACCACCACACTCGACAAACACAATCATTCACACTCGACAAACACACACACCACATAGACAAACACACACCACCACACTCGACAAACACACATCACACTCGACAAACACATACCCCACACTCGACAAAAAACACGCCACCACACTCGACAAACACACACCACACACCGACAAACACACCACCAATTTCGACAAAACACACAACACCACACTCGACAGACACACACCTCACATTCGACAAGCACATACCACCGCACTCGGACAAACACACACACCACACTCGACAAACCACACCACCAACTCGACAAACACACCCCTCCACACTCGACAACACACACCACACACTCAGACACAAAACACACCACCACACTCGACAAACACACGCCACCACACTCGACAAACACACCACCACACTCGACAAACACACACCACCACACTCGACAAACACAACAACCACACTCGACAAACACACCACCACCACTCGACAAACACACACCACCAACACTCGACAAACACACACCACCACACACGAACAAAACACACCACCACACTCGAACAAACACACGACACCACCACAATCGACAAACCACACACCCACACTCGACAAACACACATCCACCCACACTCGACAAACACACACCACATCGACAATACACACCCACCCACCACATCGTAACAAACACCACCACCCACAACTAGACAAACACACCACCACACTCGACAAAACACACACCACCACACTCGAACAAACCACACACCACCACACTCGAACAAACACACCACCACACTCGACAAAACACACACACCACACTCGACAACACCCACACCACACTCAGAACCAAAACAAAAAACCCCCCCCCACCACCACATCGAACAAATCACACCACCACACTCGACAAACACACACCAACCACACTCGACACAACACCACCACATCGACAAACACACACACACTCGACAAACACACACCACCACACTCGACAACCACACCACCACACTCGACAAACACACCACCACACTCGTCAAACACCACACCACACACTCGACAAACACACACCACTCTCGACAAACACACTTCAGATCAAGAAACACCCAGCGAACTACATAAATAAACACTAACCTCCAGCGACTTGCAGCAGCTTAAAAGCACCTTCACTTCCATGGGTTGATGGCATCTGGCACGTTTTTGTTAAAAAACAACAGCGTCTTAAAAGCGGCCCATCAGCATTTAAGTTTATTTACCGCACGAATATGGTAGTTATGAAGGGGGAGAGGAATGCAGTTTATCTTCACTAGCGGAGAACCCCTCCCCCCCCCGTGGAAATAAGCTCACTGACATTTTGAGTTATCTAGGTTCTCTAACCATATGCTGCTATGTATGATTATCCTGTGTAACCGTTATTTATGTATTACCTGAATAAACTTACTAATTTACTTACTTATGGGATGGATACAAATTCATTATAAATGTTCCTATAAAACTGAAATTATTAGGTGTCTCCGATGGCGTATCTTACATGATTGTTTACCTTTTTTTGTCCCTCTTAAGTTTTCCTTTATAACTTGAGAACACCTAAAGTGATCGACTTAAATTTTCTTTACTGGTGTACTGTAATTAAGGAAAGGTGCATGAGACTACCGGGATGTGTGGGTGCCCGCTGGTTAATTATAGTACACTATTTCCGGTTTTAGTTTATATGTGATAACTTAAGAAAGCCTCTTCTGATTGGCTTCCAACTTTCAACACTGGTGAATCTTACTTAGAAGTAAATTACTATTTTTTTGTGGGTTGTGTAAGTGCAAATTTGACAAATCTATTTTTAAAATGGGGTGGCATTTTTTTCGGTGAAATATCTTGAGTAAGCCTCGTTGGAAGAGCTTCGGTCCTTCAAGGCCGGCGCATCTGCTGAGAAGAATATCCTATATAAGTTTAGGCTACGTAGGTGCAGCCTTTGCTTATATATGATACTAGCATGGTTAAAACACTTAAAATTGCTTGACCTCGTGCAATAATTGGAGCATGCTTCTTCTGGTCGGCTTCAATATTTTAGCGTTGGTGTGTTGTGCTCACTGGACTGACTGGAGGGCCACGTTACTGGACTGCGGAAGTCCCATTTTGGCAACGCTATTCTTTCTAGAGACACCAGGGTACTTGACCGTTTGTTCAGTATTAACTAAAGACACACACATGCATTCAACCATTGGGAATTTTATGCTACAACTATTGAAATTTTGAAATATATATCGAGCTTAGATCTGCTCTTGTAGCTACAAATAATTACAAATACGTAGTTAATTACAAAAAAGGCCTAGTGTCTATCGAGAAGTATCTCTGACAAATGGTAATTAATATATGGATAATAAAGAACTGAAAAAAATGGAATACAGTACTCATCTCGACAGCAAGAGTGAATAAGATAACTTGCTTAACTGTATATCAACTGAGATGACTTCCTAAAATAGGAATGAAAATAAACTCACGATACATTGAAAGATCTATTCCGCTCGGTGTATATGAGGTGTGATGAACTGAAATCCCACCAAACAAATCTATCTTTGCACATGATGTAGAACCCTTCATTCTATATGATATACTGAAATAATATAAATCTGTATTGGGGATGATCGTTCAAGTAAGGTGCCTTGATCCTGGTGAAGGGTTCTTGATCCAAAAAAATTAAAGCCACCCTCCCTATCCTCAGATCAAACCTAATTATCTCCCATTTCCCAGGCGCTGTATGACTCCTACGGGCTTAGTGCTTCCCGGAATAATAATAATAATAATAATAATAATAATAATAATAATAATAATAATAATAATAATAATAATAATAACCTATGTGAAATATCAATATATCTTGGTATAAAATAAGAGATCAAACATAATAATAAAATTTCCTAAATTTGCTTACAATAGATAAGTCAAATGTAGATATAAATCCAGAAGTACTCATGTTAACCTTTTTTGGGATATAATTCCTAAGTCAAATTTTTCGTATCCATATACTCTTGCACTAACCCTCCACAGGATGGGTATGAGGTCATTGAGGTGCACTATAAACTAGCTTCGGACGCAAAATCTAAAATCTATCTACCGAGTCCTCTAAGAGCCATCTATGTTGTATTCATGACTCCCCCATGAGGCCCCCAGTGATATTGTCAAAAGGAAGAAGTTGAAGAAATATTAAATTTATTTTTACAAGGCTAACATTTGCTTTGCGTAATTTCTTGGAATCAAATTTCTCCAAAACATCAGCAAACTGTAAGTTACTGAGAACACGGTCTTCAGTTGCCATGAGAGCTAGTCTGTAAAGTCGTTCTTGTGCCATTGTCGATCTGCGGACATTATTTAGATGTTTCATCTTTGAGAAATTCCTCTCTCCAGTCGCATTAGTTGTCATTAAACACAAGTAAATCTGAAGTGTTAATTCAGCATTAGGAAATGAAGAAGTTAATCTATTGTTTCATGCTTCTACCTGAATTTATCAAAATGCCCAACAAATCTTTAAAGTGAATAATTTCTGGAACAAATCCAGACTCGATGTCATCTGAGTAAATCCTTTAAAACTTGGCTGCTGCTCTTTGAAATGTGTTCATCATTCATTGTTGGAAATTCGACCAGGAAACCAAACACTGAATGAGCATTTTTATACGCTGCAATGCGATGGAAAAGAGCTGAGCGTAGCGGCCTTTCCGGCTAAGCTTGATAAGTTGACACAATGACACTATACAACAAGGTCGTAGCAAACCGAATAACGCCTGACTTATAGGGATCCACTCTTAAATCTCTATCAAAAATTAATCACAACAGTCAACAGTTCATCATATACGTGATATAATAACAACTATAATTATAAACTTAAAACAGTAACTGTGAACACTTTTCACTTAATCTCTGGAGGCCCTCCAGCTGGCGGAGGACCCTGGGCTGCAGCCCCTGGAGGCCCTCCAGCTGGCGGAGGACCCTGGGCTGCAGCCCCTGGAGGCCCTCCAGCTGGCGGAGGCCCCTGGGCTGCAGCCCCTGGAGGCCCTCCAGCTGGCGGAGGACCCCGGGCTGCAGCCCCCTGGAGGCCCTCCAGCTGACGGAGGACTCTGGGCTGCAGCCCCCTGGAGGCCCTCCAGCTAGCGGAGGACCCTGGGCTGCAGCCCCTGAAGCCCATGCCTTAATCCGGCCCTGCTTCAGTGTACTTGAGTTGGTGTACAAACTGTACATACTGCATTTGTTGAGGCACACGCTGCATCTTTTATGTACACGCTGCATTTGTTAGTGTACGGGCTGCATTTTTAAGTAAACACGCTGCATTTGTTGGTATACACGCTGCATATGACTTACAAGTTCAACCCTGATAAAAAATATGCCGCACTGCTTGCTTCTCCTGGGTTATAGTGGGTTTCTAGCCCTCCGAAGTAAATCATCTAAATTCTTGTTTTTCCATTACTGATTTTTGTGAAACTCCATCAATTATACACTCTTCCATTCTGATGTTTCTTTCATACGTATTTATAGTAAGGAGCAAGTATGTTTCTTGTGAGGGTAATGTGTGTATGTGTTGAAAGGGAAGGTGTGTGTGTGTGGGTGCTCACCTAATTGTGGTTGCAGGGGTAGAGTCATAGCTCCTGGTCCCGCCTCTTCACTGGTCGCTACTAGATCCACTCTCCCTGCTCCATGAGCTCTATCATACCTCTTCTTAAAGCTATGTATGGATCCTGCCTCCCCTACATAACTTTCCAGATTGTTCCGCTTCTTGATAACTCTTACGTGTGTGTACTCACCTAGTTATGGTTGCGGGGGTCGATTCACAGCTCCTGACCCCGTGTGTGTGTGTGTGTACTCACCTATTTGTACTCACTATTTGTGGTTGCAGGGGTCGATTCATAGCTCCTGGCCCCGCCTCTTCACTGATTGCTACTAGGTCCTCTCTCTCCCTGCTCCATGAGCTTTATCATACCTCGCCTTAAAACTATGTATGGTTCCCGCCTCCACTACTTCACTTTCTAGGCTATTCCACGGCCTGACTACTCTATGACTGAAGAAATACTTCCTAACATCCCTTTGATTCATCTGAGTCTTCAACTTCCAATTGTGACCTCTTGTGTCTGTGTCCCATCTCTGGAACATCCCGTCTTTGTCCACCTCGTCTATTCCGCGCAGTATTTTGTATGTCGTTATCATGTCTCCCCTGACTCTCCTGGCCTCCAGTGTCGTCAGGCCGATTTCCCTCAACCTTTCTTCGTAGGACAATCCCCGTAGCTCTGGGACTAGTCTTGTTGCAAACCTTTGCACTTTCTCTAATTTCTTGACGTGCTTGACTAGGTGTGGATTCCAAACTGGTGCTGCATACTCCAGTATGGGCCTGACGTAAATGGTATACAGAGTCTTGAACGAATCCTTACTGAGGTATCGGAACGCTATCCTTAAGTTTGCCAGGCGCCCGTATGCTGCAGCAGTTATCTGATTGATGTGCGCCACGGGAGATATGCTCGGTGTTATACTCACCCCAGATCTTTTTCCTTGAATGAGGTTTGCAGACTTTGGCCATCTAAATTATATTGTGTCTGCGGTCTTCTTTGCCCTTCCCCAATCTTCATGACTTTGCATTTGGCAGGGTTAAACTCAAGGAGCCAGTTGCTGGACCAGGCTTGTAGCCTGTCCAGGTCTCTTTGTAGTCCTGCCTGATCCTCATCCGATTTGATTCTTCTCATTAACTTCACATCGTCCGCAAACAAGGACACTTCTGAGTCTATCCCTTCCGTTATGTCATTCACATATACCAAGAACAGCACAGGTCCTAGGACTGACCCCTGTGGAACCCCGCTTGTCACAGGCGCCCACTCTGACACCTCGTCACGTACCATGACTCGTTGTTGCCTCCCTGTCAGGTATTCTCTGATCCATTGCAGTGCCTTTCCTGTTATGTGTGCCTGATCCTCTAGCTTTTGCAGTAACCTCTTGTGAGGAACTGTGTCGAAGGCCTTCTTGCAGTCCAAAAAAATGCAGTCGATCCACCCCTCTCTCTCTTGTCTTACTTCTGTCACCTTGTCATAAAACTCTAGTAGGTTTGTGACACAGGATTTTCCCTCCCTGAAACCATGCTGGTTGTCAATACACTTGTTTCTTTCCAGGTGCTCCACCACTCTCCTCCTGATGATCTTCTCCATGACCTTGCATACTACACACGTTAGTGATACAGGTCTGTAGTCTAGTGCCTCATGTCTGTCTCCCTTTTTAAAAATTGGGACTACATTTGCCATCGTCCATACCTCGGGGAGTTGCCCAGTTTCAAATGATGTGTTGAAGATCTTTGTTAACGGTACACACAATATCTCTGCTCCCTCTTTAAGGACCCACGGAGAGATGTTGTCTGGTCCCACCGCCTTTGAGGTGTCAAGTTCGCATAGTAGCTTCTTCACCTCCTCCTTGGTTATATGTACCTCATCCAGCACTTGCTGGTGCACCCCCCTGCTCTGATTTCCTGGAGTCCTACTGGTTTCTACTGTAAAAACTTCTTTAAATCTTGTGTTGAGCTCCTGACATACCTCCCGGTCGTTTCTTGTGAATTCCCCATCACCCTTCCTCAGTCTGATTACCTGGTCCTTGACTGTTGTTTTCCTCCTGATGTGGCTGTACAACAGCTTCGGGTCAGTCTTGACTTTCGATGCTATGTCATTTTCGTATTGCCGCTGAGCCTCCCTTCTTATCTGTGCATATTCGTTTCTGGCTCTTCGGCTAATCTTTTTTTTCCTGAGTTCTCTGTCTTCTGTACCTTTTCCATTCTCTAGTACACCTAGTTTTTGCCTCCCTACACCTTTGGGTGAACCAAGGACTCGTTCTGTTCTTCCCATTATTTCTGTTTCCCTTGGGAACAAACCTCTCCTCTGCCTCCTTGCATTTTGTTGCGACATAGTCCATCATTTCTTGTACTGGTTTTCCTGTCAGTTCCCTCTCCCACTGAATGTCTTGAAAGAAGTTCCTCAAGCCTGAGTAGTTCCTCCTTTTGTAGTTTGGTTTTTCCCACCCTGTTCCTGCTGCTCTCTCCACTTGGAGCTCAACTATATAGTCGTGTGTGTTGTGTGTGTGTGTGTGTGAGTGTATGTACTCACCTACTTGAGGTTGCAGAGGTCGAGATCAAGCTCCTGGTCCCGGTCCAAGCTCCTGTGTATATATATGTGTGTGTGTGTGTGTGTGTGTGTGTGTGTGTGTGTGTGTGTGTGTGTGTGTGTGTGTGTGTGTGTGTGGCGCGAGCGAGCACCATTTTTACAGATTCTGTGGATTAGTATAATGTGCATTGTGGTATCAAATGCTCTTCTACAATTCAGGAATATGCAGTTCGCCCACTTCTTTCCTTCTTGCTATATTTCTGTTACTCTCCAGTAGGTTTTTGAGAAAATATCTGCCGTTTCTAATTTTGCGCTGTTTGTCGTTTATGAATCTGTTTCGTTCATAGATGCTCCATTAACCTCTTAAGCCTTCTCTTCACAAGTGAGGGAGACAGGTTCGTACTCGGGATGAGTGGATATGTTCCTTACACCTGTTGCTTTTGTTCACTTAACAGTAAGTAGGTACCTGGGTGTTAATCAACTGTTGTGATCTGTGGGTCGCATCTTGGGCTAAGTAGATTCAAGGAACTTACCTGGAGAGGGTTTCGGGGGTCAACGCCCCCGCGGCTCGGTCTGAGACCAAGCCTCATGGTGGATCAGGGTCTGATCAACCAGGCTGTTACTACTAGCCACACGAAAGCTGACGTACGAACCACAGCCCGGTTGGTCAGGCACTGACTTTAGGTGCCTGTCCAGTGCCTTCTTAAAGACAACCAGGGGTCTGTTGGTAATACCCTCTTATGTAGGCTGGGAGGCAATTGAACAGTCTTGGACCCTGGACACTTATTGTGTTGTCTCTCAATGTACTCGTGGCGCCCCTGCTTTTCATTGGGGGAATGTTGCATCTCCTGCCGAGTCTTTTGCTTTCATAGGGAGTGATTTTCGTGTGCAGGTTTGGTACCAATCCCCCCCAGGACCTTCCAAGTGTATATTTATCATGTATCTCTCTCGCCTGCGTTCCAGGGAATACAGATCAAGGACCTTCAACCATTCCCAGTAATTTAGGTGCCTTATCGTGCTTATATGTGCCGTGAAATTTCTTTGCATACTCTCCAGGTCTGCAATGTCGCCAGCCTTGAAGTGAGCTGTTAGTGTACAGTAGTATTCCAGCCTAGAGAGCACAAGCGATTTGAAGAGAATCATCATGGGCTTGGCGTCCCTAGTTTTGAAAGTTCTCATTATCCATCCTACCATTTTCCTAGCAAATGAGATAGATACATTGTTGTGGTCTTTGAAGGCGAAATTTACTTTCCAGGTTAATAAC